GGTGGGGTGGGGTGGTTTCACGTTTTGAGTTTGGGTTGAGGAGGTTTCTACGTATACTTGGGCTTTTGATCAAAAACTAATGTTGGGCTTGGGCTATACTAGGGCAAACATATTTTGGTTTAATTATTTACAACTCAGTAAATTATACAAAAAATAAATTGTATGAAAAAGCAACGTACTTTAACTTGGTTACTATTTTAGATAACGTATTTTTAAAACTTTCATTTTGGTACCTAAGATATGAAGTTTTAAACATTTAAGTGTCCGGATAATCGGTTGAAGTATTAATCGATTATCATGCTGATGTCCGGGTATCCAACTCGGTATTATTTGCTGAAGCGTTAATCGGATATTAATCACTCATCACATCAGCATGGTAGCCAGTTAATATTTCAACCAGTTACCTGGATACTTAAATGTTTAAAACTTTACATCTTAGGTACCAAAATATAAATTTGAATACTTAAATTTGAAAATAAATTTTTTACATGATTTAATATATTTTTTCACATATATTTGTTTCACAATGTGATAGTTTCGCATGTATTTGTTTCACCATATGAATATTTTTTATGTGTATTTTTCGTCTCATTAAGCGAATAAAAAAAAGTTTCTCATGCAATTTTTTTTCATAAGATGAACACAAACATATGTGAAACAATATATTTAGCTTTTGGTAAAGAAAATGTAAAAGATATTTGTTTATCAATTCTCAGAGGTTTGTAATTTTTTCGGGCTTCTCATTTGATTACCTCATATATATATATAGATTTTTGATCACGTGAGACCAACTTGTTTTCGTGAGACAACTTTTTTACACTTGAAATTTCACAACAAAACACTGTTAATGTAACCTTCAAAATGTATTCGTTGTAAAGGTTCAGATTTTTTTTACCTTCGCAGTGTTATAACGTGAAGTTTCAAGTGTAAAAAAATGATTTCATAGAAACAACCTGATGTAACGAAATGGATTGAATTGATCTAATCATTTGGCAAGAAAATTTGGAACCAACAACGAAATAAATGGCAAAAAACTTAAAAATCATAGTTTTCTTACAAAATAGTGAGTTCACTAAAAACTTGAATTATACGATGTCTTTTTTACAAAACAAGTGGTTATGTTATGCATATGCTAGTCTCAACTCCCCTCTACATCTTTTTTGTAATTATTTTGTTTTAGGGACTTAAAGTGCTAGAACTTATAAAGTATAGGGACCAAACATGTAATTCTTTCTTATTATTGGTTTATAACATTTTATATTGGATTTTTAATAATATATTGTTGGTTCATTACCACTGTCGGTTATATAATAATAAAATTATGTAAACCATGTATTGTGGGCAAAGCTTGGTTGTGATGCTATACAACTATGGGTCATTGAATTACGGCGCCGTTGCATGATCATAACGCCTACATTCCTACACATTTTTTTAAACCAAGATTTTAATGATTTTTATTTTAACAGTTTTTAAAAAAATAAAATAAAAAAAAATTAAGAGAGGTTAAGTGAAATTCTTTAAATTTAAACAACTTTTCGAAAATGATTACCTATAAAAAAAATCTATTTTTTTTATTTTTCCTATCAATAGTTTTTTTTAAATTAAATATAAAAAAGAAAAGAAAATTATAAAATGTATTAAATATTTAATAATATAATTCATATTATAATCTCTAAAATTAAGAAGTTGTTAAAAAAAATATAAAATTTTGTTAATATTTTGACTTTTAATTCTTTATTTTAAAAAGGCTTGCAATCTTCACCAAATAAATGTTCATAATTCTATTTTAGTTTGTTTCAAAATAAATATTCATTTTCAAATTTGTAAGATGAATAAAAACTCTTTACTATAAATGGTAAAATTGTCTTTTGATTAATTAAAAGGTGTAAAATGGTATATTCTTAAGCTGTGTATCAATTTCATTAACATTTATTTTGGAATGGATAAAACAATTATAATTACTATTAATTGTTAATTATTATTAATCTTGATTATTTTGGTCAATTTTTAAAGGGAAAAAAAAGCTGGAAAGTGAAAGAATATTATATAAAATGACTAAGGGGCCATTTATTAAACATTTGCCCAGTAAATGATTACAGGGTAATTTTCCTTACCGGATGAATATGACATAATTCAAAAATCTTACCTGATAACAGCAATGATAAAGATGGAGAGTCTTACTCGGTAAGGGAAGGTAACTACTCTTACCTGGGTAAGTGCTTACCGGCTAAATTGTTGCATACGATATCATTTTAATGTACTACAATCTTACCCGGTAAAATAAATTATATTGTTGACTCCTAACATTAAATGCTTACTGGGTAAGCATTTAGGTAAATGGCAACTAAGCTTGGCCAATTTCCTGAAAATCCCACTTCAACTTCACTTTCTAGAGAGCCATTGCAAAGTTATTACCGTATAAATGTGTGTTTGTCAACAAAACCATTATATGTGCCCGTCATTTTGGATCCGAAAGAAACTAGAGTTCAAGCTGCAGCAATCTCCCGAAAACACTTGTCGGGAGTTAGATTCCCGTGCTTTTCTGAAGGATTCCGCCCAACATTTCCGCATTGTCACGATGACATCTCGAGCATATGCATCTCTGCTGCAGCTTGTCACCGAGGGAAGTACATTCCTCTTCGAGTCTCGAAGTCTGCGTACTTCTAGTCAACGGAAAAACTAATGTTGTTGTTAGAATATGTGAAACCTCATTAGATTACTCTTCAAAAAAACCTTGAAATGGGACTCTTAACGGAGGCTAGACAAACAAAGATGTCCCCTATGGTAGAGATTGGCTCTGATACCATATTAGATTACTTTTCAAAAGAACTCTGACGTGGGACTCCTAATAGAGGCTAGACCAGCAAAAATGACCCAAATGGTAGATATGGGCTCTGATACCATATTAGAATATGTGAAACCACATTATATTACTCTCCAAAAGAGTCTTTGAAGAGATGAGAGTTTCAACACATACAGAAGAGAGTTTCCAAGTGTAGAGGATTCTAACATGCCCCCTCCAATGTAGACAAGACGGGCAACAATGTCCTGGAATGTCGAACCCCAGGCAAAGACGTGTTAGAATATATGGAATCTCATTACATTACCTCTTCAAAAGAGCCCTCAATGAGAGAAAAGAGTTTCAATATAAATGAAAGAGAAAGTGTCCAAGTCTAACCGTTGTTGGACTCTAACGACAATCATGGCCAATTCTATATGCAAAATTATGGGATTACAAAGGCTTTTCCTATTTCCTGTTGCTTCTGGTATGGTAATATTAAACAGTGAATAGAAGCTTTTTGCATTCTTTGATGCCAGCTTCAGCAGTGAAAGGTAAAGATTCATGTGTGAATAAACAAGATGTGTATTAAATTAATCTAGAAAAGGAAATTTTAGCAAGGATATATGGCTAATTCTTGAAGCTCCTGACTTCCTTCCATTACTGCTTCCATCAAAGATATTCTATACTTCAAATCATCCACCTCCTTTTGCTCCTACAGATGATAAGACGGGCCACAATAAACTTCCAAGTTCCACCCACATAGCACCATTTATATCGGAGAGGATCAAACGGAAATAGGGTAAAAATAAGAAAACACGAAAACGACTAAATCACATGAGATTTTGCACTGAAATCAACAAGGAATGAAGGGGGTGAGTGGGCGACTCAGGTTGTAGGCCAAAGTCGCATGAATCACATGTGAGTTTACACGTAATTCTAGTGTAAAATCACATTGGATTCGTTTGTTCTCGTGTTCTCTTATTTGGTCACTGTTCTCGTTTGAACCGGACTCCATTTATATATGCACACGTATACAAATCATGGTTTGTGAATGAAAGGACTTGCAAGAAATGCACAACATGAATGATTGAAACTGCATTAATGAATCATTCAGGCGTAAAACAATTTAAAATGTCAAAACGCATTTTATCTACTCCCATAGCTTTACATGACCTTGCATACGCTAGTCACACACACAACACATTGGCACGATGGATAGTGCTTAGAGCATCCACAATGAAGCTTTTTAGTCGCCTATCCTTGTAAAAGAACTGCTAGACGAGCAAAAGCATCTTTTTGCTTGTGCAGTTACAAGCTTGTTTTTCTTTTGCTTGTGGGACCCACTTTTTTTATTAAAAAAACTCATATGAAAAAGTCCATTGTGGATGCAAATGGTAAAAGTTACAGGTCCCATTGTGTCACATAAATTCTCTCTAATTTAAGCAAAAACATACTATGTTGTGATTTGTGAACTATGAAAAATATAATGCTAAGTTTAGAACATACATCAAAAAGCAAATTAAAAGCAAGGAGGAATTAAGTAATGAATGGCAAAGATCATGTGAAATCCGAACTAATGATAAGCTTCTAGACCCAATAAAGGAAAGGCAATTGCAGTTATTTCTCACCTGCATGTGAAAATTTTGTTCTGATTGAAATTCATCTTCTGCTTTCTTGGTTTCAGAGAGTATTTTAGCAAGCTTATCTTCAACATATCTGTTGGCTTCTTCAAGTTCTCTTGTATCAGCATGTTCAATGTTCACTTTGGTCAAAAGTAAAAACAAAATTGGAAGGAAATATGATTGGAGTTAGATATATATATCGTATTGAAGTAGTAGTATTGTCCCACTTCACCTGGTCATCAAGATTACTATGTGTGTGTATATATATATATATATATATATATATATATATATATCTCAATATATGTGGTTTGGGCACCCTCCTCCTTTGAGCTAGCTAGCTTTTAGGAGTGAGTTATACCCAAGCCCGTTTATTATATGATACCGGAGCGCGCATTTGGATTTGTCACACAACAGATGTCAAATAAGAGAAATTTTGCATGCCATCCCTAGTTCTATATATTTACCACTCATTTTTTATTATCATCTTTTAACACATGAATGAAGTTGCTATTTAATTCATATCTTGGGTGCTCATTTGGTACCAGAAGAGAAATACAAACCACTTTGTGATACTGTATTGCTGCTGAATGCTTCATTGATAACAGAATCTACCGACTGATGAAACTTTCTGCATCACAATAGAAACGAAGCAAGTTGATATACGCATTTTATAGCTGGATCCGTAGGTCGAGTTTCAGATAATAAAATAGTCACATAGTCACTTACAAAAGGGTTGGAGAGGGGGGAAGATGACAATCAAATAGCATGCAGGAATAAGTGGATTAAACCAATTTCCTCATACATTCTTACCATGATTTTTGTTGTGTTGCAGATGGAACCAAAAATCCAACATAACTAGCCAATTATACATATAACAGGAAGGTTGGAAATAAGAATATAGATTTTTTAATGACACTGTTTCTCTATAGGCTAAAAGTCGAAGTGCCTAGCCAGCTTGCAATATATCAATTTTGTGTGTACAAGATCAACCAGAATTCATTCATAGAATGCAATAATCCCCAAACAACAAAATTGGCACGAATCATCCCAACCAGAACAACTACCATGAAGAAAGTGAGATGGTAACATAAGACCATCTACAATGGTGTATTATGAGAGGTCCATGGACCGGTAGAAGGAAAAAAATCACTATCGGGAAGAACAGCTCCATATGCCACATAGGAGGGAGAATCGCTTCCTACGTAACAGCATCTCCAATCAACCGGCAATTTTAGAGATTTACCGTTTGTGACCTCTTCAATCGACCGGCAAATGAATTTAGGTTTTGCCGGATCCCTTATTTGAACGGCAAATATGCCATGGGTTTCTTGAACAGCAAAACCAGGTGGGACCCATTAATTTGTATTAAAAACCATTTTTCATTTAATAATTTAGGGGTTGATTGGGTTATTTTAATGTGGAGTCCACAAATTTGGTGTTTTTTTTAAAGTATGATTGGAGTTGAGTTTTTTTTTAGTGTTTATGGGTCCATCATATTTAGTGTTTTTAGTGTTTTTTTTTGGGTGACGAGGTTGGAGTTGCTTTAAGGAGCGGTCCTCGGACAAAAAAAAATGTTTATTTATTTATTTTCAGGGGGCCACAACCCACTAGTCTAAAACAGTGCTATATATATGTATGCTTATTTATTTATTTTGTTTTTTCTTATATAAAATATAAGAAAATATGATTTATAGTTATTCTTGTTGATTTTATTATATTATGATTTTTATTTTTATTAAATGGTTTTTAACCCCTTTTTGTTTCCTTTAAGATATATTTGGATTGACGGATTGAATATTTTTTATAATAAATTGGAGGAAGCCAAACCCTAACCGATTTGTTCCACGAAATCCCCTCAATGCCCAGAAAACCTAAGGTTCCTCTGGAATATCCCGAATCTGATGAAATAGGATGAATTGATACGAAATCAACACCAAAAAACGAAAAACTATTTAAAAGAAAAAATATTCTATAATTATTAACTAATAAGAAATTTAATTAATGTCTTTTAAAAATAATATGTAATTTTTAGCTACTATAATTTTTTAATATTATAGTTATTTATTATATACACGATGGATCAATACATAATTGAGACTGAAAGATTTATAAAATGTGTAGGAAAGAGAAAACTAAAAGGTTTATAAAATGTGTAGGAAAGAGAAAACTGATTAAGAAAAGTTATAAACCTCCAAATAAAAGAAGTTCATGCCTATGGATGCTCTTGGTTACCTGATCTTTGCATTTAGGTCAAACATTTTCTTGATGAAATCATCCCTGCATGAGTAAGCTTTCACAAATGAAGAAATACAGCACAGCACAACTTTTTTTGTCTAACAGACAAATAAATGATGGAAAATATATTAGGGAAACCTACCGTAAAGCCCCTTCTTCATTCTGAATGCGATTTCACACGGTTTCAAGAACCAATAGGTACAATTTATTCAAAACACAGACGTTCAATTAGCATGCAAATAAAGTTGAAACAGCCGGCAACAATAGGGAGTATCATCAAATACCTTAAGTGCCTCCAAATCAGATCCAACTGAAGATATTTCATCCTGAATCAAAGAAATCCGCCCCTGAAGGCATCCAAACACTTGTCAATGAAATTGTTCAATCGATGCTGATGTTTAAGCTTAAACAGAAAAGATCTAGGGCTTGGAACAAAAATTCATTCAGGGTCAATTCACATGTCGCTTTGGTTACGATCTGTTGGTTACATACAGTTATTACCTACATGTATATTTAAATGTCATCAAACGAGGTTCTATCGTCCAGTGATCTAAGTGTGTAACATTTTAGTTCTACATATCATAGAAACAAGTTCATCGATAGCCCTAAAAACAAAACAAAAAAAACAAAAGAATAAAACCTCTAGAGTTTGGATTGAGGATTCATTCATCGACAATTCAACTTCGTAGCCTTTAAGCTCTTGTTCAGTACATTCTTTCAAACGCTTGGCTTCTTCGAGCTCTAAATTCACAGAATCAAGTTCCGATTGGCGCTCTTCAATTTGCTTCTTGAGGTTTACTACCCTACGCTCTGTCGATTTGCTAGATCGGATCAGTTTGTTTGAAAATTCAATCAAATGAAAACAAAAAAGCGATCGTAATGTTGAAGAGATTAGATGCTATGATATAGAATAAACTACATACCTCCTTGAGATTTTTCTGTAGAGACATCGCGGATTAGGCTTAGAAGCTCCTTTTGCGAATTGGTACCTCCCATTTTCGTTTCCCGCTTATAGTTACAAAGGCCTTCGCTTGGAATTCCTTTATATGCCGAGATATCCAATCAACATCTCCAACGACCAATGTGAAATTTTCTTATATCAAACAAAATAGAATAAATAATAGATTTGGTCACTCGGGTATACCGTTTATCAAATGCTTGCTTGGGTAAGTTCACACCAAGTCATATTACCTTACCGGATAAATATAGTAGAGTGAGACAATGACCTAGAGTCTTACCTGATAAGTGAAGGCAACGACTCTTACCACGGTAAGCGCATGAATATGGTAAGGACCAATAATCTTACCTGGTAAGAGGAAGGCAAGGACAAATAGTTTTACCTGGTAACTGAGGGCGACGACTCTTACTACAGTAAACGTTTACCAGGTAAATTGTTGCATACAAAACCGTTCTGGTAGACTAAAATCTTACCCAATAAGTAAATGATAGTGTTAAATTTTACCGCTAAACGCTTATCAGGTAAGTATCTGGTAAACGGCCCCTTAGTTACAAATACGGTCCTTAACCCTAAAATTCATGAGTATAGTATGTAGCACGGTGCTTATTGGTTGGGTGGATCAAGTTTAAACAACCCAATTCAACTTAAACCGAAATTCAATCCAATCCAACCTAAATCGTACTGATTGATCGGGTTGATACTTTGATACATTAAAATACTTTTTTATATTTGTTATCTTGAATAAATTGTTTTCTCTACTTATAATTGATGTAGCAGTCATTTAGTACATCGTATCCATACTTAAACATATATTACATTCAACTATTTTTCTCAATTTACTTATACATGTTCATATTTATCGAACATATACATAAAAAGTTATATAGAGATACAGAATAAATTGAAAATATATGTATATGAAAAAGGTATATGATAATGTGATTGTCTAATATATATATATTAATAACAATAATATTAAATTCATACAATAAAATGATATCGGGTTGGATTTGGTTCAAATGACCGTAATCGAGTTCCAATCTAATACCTATAATTTGAAGATTTTTACAATTCAATTAGACATCGAAGTGCTTCAAGTAGGGTTATTTCGCGTTGGGTTAGGTTGGTCGGGTTTTTTAGCACCCTAATCTTTAGGCTTTCATTTCGCAATGCATCCAGTCTCTTGCCCTAACTTCAGTTAAAAAAAACACTGTTAAATTTAGGGGTATCTGGGTTTTTTCTCTCATTCTTTATTAAAAAGTAATTTGTAGTTCCTGGTATTTTCTAACGCATCTAGAATTCTAAATGAAAAGTTAGCTCATCGCAAAAATAAATTGAGACACTGCAGCTTGCGGCATCGTAAGGACATGCCTCGACGCACAAAAAAACATGGAAAAGTCGCAGTTTACGGCATCAGAATAAAAAGTGTCTTGCCGAGTTAATAGGTCATTGAATGCTTTGTTGTTTCATTGGCTTAAGAAATAGATTTAAGGGCATTTTTTATTATTATTGCACAGGTCATCAAAAATCTTAATACCGACAGACCCTGCTCAAAAGTGTTTATTACCAATGTCATACTGGAATAAGTCAATAAGTTGTTTTTAGAAACAATCCCAAACACCCCCTTTAGTATATTTTCTCTTTTATTTATTACAAATTAATAACTCAAAAAATTTCAATCAGCGGGGTTTTTTTAGCATACAAAAAAGTTCATTTTTCGAAATTTTAAACATCGCCATTTCCATGAGTAAAAAAAGTAAAATTTGCAGTGTTTCTTGGCGGTCTTCATCCTGTTCATCCAAAACTCAAATCATCAAACTGAAACCCAAATATACCATCAGATATACGAGAAGATCGATCTCATAAACCCAGATTCACGACCAGATTTACGAGGTCGGAAGTTTATTTCGAACCCGCCGGCGATCTCCAAATGCAGAATTATTGCCGGTACACGACTGACGGCGGTGGTTCTCCGTCGTCTTTCATGAACGATGTCGTTTTCAAAGCAAAGATTCAAAAGCTACAGTTTCACCTTATCAAAAATGGAAGAGCAATAATAAATCGAATTTAACAAAAAAAATTGTTAGAATTTTTTCCAAAAGACAGAATCCAAAGATCTGTCGTTGTCTAAAATACAAAAGAAATTAAGATGTAGATGAGATACGTTTACATCATGAACACCAAAAAACAACCACTGTCTGCGACTGGCGGAGCTCAACAACTTAATGAGTGGAAGAACCTAACAACAACCACACGCGCCGCCGTGGACGGTGGCAGCGTCTTAAACGGTTATAGTCTTGGAGAAAACCCCACTTCCACACACATTATCAGACCTACTTCTACTGATCTTCACATCGGAAACCAAATACTGCTGCCGGAATCTCGAAATAAACGCCTCCACTTTCTCATTCAACTCCTCATTCGACAACATCGCCGACGATGATTTCTCATCGCCGTCGTCGTCCTCTTCTTCTTCTTCTTCAAACCTAATCTCTTCTCTCTCTTCATTACCATCCACCTTCAACCCATTTACACCATTTTCAACGACATCTTCACGGTGGTTGAGCTCTACATTCGCCGAAGCCGCCTTCTCCGGCGGCCGTGTCTTGCTAGTTTCATCGTTTTCTTGGCCGGAATCAGATTTCGGAGGTGGGTTTGAAGGATCTGGAGGTGGGTGTGTAGATGTGAAGAGTATAGCTATGAGCAAAAGGTTGAGTGCTAGAAAAACCCACATATGCCACTGCTTGAATATCGACAACACGGCGGCGCGTTCGAGACAAGCGATGACGACCGCCATACCGGCGGCGAACCAGACGGCTTGGAGTTGATCTTTTCTGGTCTTATCTTCCATAAGTGGATATGAATGGCTGGATTGTTTTTGTTTTGATTTATAGAAAGAGAAGAGTATTTGAAGGTTTGAGGAAGGGGGAGGAGGACGCATGCATTGGGGAATGGAGAGCCATTGTCGAGATGTGAGGTTAATGGTCACGTGAGGAGACACGTGAGTCGGGCGTATAGGAGACCATAAAACATTCTCATCCTGCCTTGTTCCTTTCGTCATATGAAATATAATGATAATAAAAAGATAAATTCTTCAAAATAGTTATTTAGTGTTATACTCTTACCCAATTTCATGTTTGGTTTGTAGAATGTTTTTTGATGAAATAATAATCTGATTTTGAACGAATTGAAATGGAAGATTATCAGGTTTGATCAATTGTTTGGTTCACAAACATTGAAATGAAGTCTGTTAAGATATCGAAATCTGTCTGTTTAATTCAGATAATGTAGCTTACTTGGAAAATATTAGTAAATAACCAAAATACTCTTTTTTGAAAATTTTAAATATTTCTAAAAGACTAAAACTAAAAATATTTTAATAAAATAATTATTTAACGTGTAAAACAATATATAAGATACACAACCCAAATATGACCATAAACCAAACGACATTACTAGATCGATATTAAAATGGTCTCAAAATAGCTAAATTTTTATCATGTAAAATAGAAAATTTGATGGTAGTCGACGGTGATTGGTAGTAGTTCAGATCGGTGGTGGTCTGTGATGGTTCAAATGATAGTGGTAAGCGGTGTTTTCAGATCGGGGTGGTTCAGATCGACGGTGGCCAGCGGTGGTTCAAATCGGCGGTGGTCGGAGTTGGTTTGCAGTGGTTTAGATGGGTGGTGGTCCACATTGGTTCAAATGCCGGTGGTCGGCAGTGGTTCAACTAGGTGGTGGTCTGTGGTGGTTCAAATGGCGATGGTCGGAGGTGGTTCATATCGATGGTGGTTCCATCGGCGGTGGCCAAAGGTGGTTCAAATTGGTGGTTGTACAGATTGGTGGTGATCGGCGGTGATTCAGATAGGTGGTAGTCGTCGGTGACAGGTGATGGTCGACGATGGTTCAGATGGCAGTGTCGACAGTGGTTTAGATCGGTGGTGGTCTACGGCGGTTTAAATGGCGTTGATCGGTGGTGGTTCATATTGGCGGTGCCCGGCGGTGGTTTAATTCGATAGTGGTTTATATCGGTGGTGATTCAGATCAGCAATGCCCGACATTGGTTCAGATAAGTGGTGGTCGACGGTGGTTGAGATGGTGATGGTTGGCGGTGGTTCAGATGGCGGTGGTCGGTCGTGATTCAGATCAATGGTGGTCAGAGGTGGTCGACGATAGTCATATTAGGTCGTGATTCTAATTATTCCTTTTTTGCTAAATTATAATATGGAAAGCTGTACAGAACTTGATTGAATTCATTCGTCTAACCCTGAAAACCTTAGTAACTTGTCCACACGTCCATGATTCATTGTCGGTCCTCAATGGTCATTTGTATTATTAGACTTTTAGTGAATGATTGTGTTATACGAAGGTTATTGGAGTCATTGTATATGCGAGAATAAATGGTACAACAGATATCAACATGTTATTTGAACGTTTGATAGCTTTTGTGTACCTAGATCTAGTTGGTAAATATATCACTATAAATAAATCAACAACTTCAACTTTTGTGATGCTGGTGCAAAACTGTACTCAACATATATCAACCAAAAAAGTTGGTATGAATTGAGTTCGTACCAAGTATAGTAAGTTGGTATATGATATATAATTTTGCACTACCAATTATAATTGGTTGATACATGATTATGAAAAAAAACATGATACCGTACCATGTTCACCACTATGCCCGAAGGCAATTAAAACCAGGGATTTATTATAAATAAGTGAGTTTTTTGGGTTTCATACGAAATAGCCATTCAATTCATAAAATGGTTTTACGAGCATAATATATTGGTTGGTCCATGCTACAAAATTCAATCAAGATTCGTATAAAAATATGGAGCACACAGAAGTCGGTATTTATTTTCTCGATAGAAAAAAATATAGTTTTTGCAAATTTTGTGAGACAGCGGAGCTTGCAAAAGATTAAGGAGTCGTTACCAAACGCTTACCCACAAGAGTATTGTCCTTATTTACCTTATCAGATAACATGATCGGGCATCAAAATTTATTGTCGGTAAACAACTTTTACCCAATAAGT